ATCACTAATTTTGGAGCTCTAAAAAGACCATTAATGACATGGCACTCAATAAAAAAAGAAAAAAAATACAACACAAAGGCCAAAACATCAAATCATTCCTGGTGGGGCCCACTGCCACATCGTTAGTGATAGCACTAATTAGTGCTCTCACTCATTTTTCATTTTTTTCAGCTCACATTTTAGTCAAATAGCCAAATAGCCAAAAAATTAATAAATTAGTCTGTTCCCAAACGATGCCTTATTAATATGTAAACTATTTCTAAAGACTACTATTTATTAGATTATACTTTGCATTTGGCCTAATCCATGTTGTATGTATTATATTATTTCAATAAGATATTTGTGGTTCAGGGTACTATGACACTCACCAATGTATCAGATGTTAGCCACAAACTAATGGTAAAAGTATTGACTTGATCTTTTATCAAGTATTAGCAAAATTGTTGAAAGTTCTTTAAAAAGAATAAAAAAATGTTACAGACTTTATAAATTTTAACATGATAGGTATAAATTATAATTACATTTTGATTATAATATTATTTACACCATGTCTTTAGGTATGAGCATACACTAGTTTTTAATATTTGATGAATTTTTTCATAAATTTTAAACTTTTGTAAGTGTATTTAAATTAAGTGAATTTAAAAAGTAAAAAAAAATTAAAAAATTCATTAAAAAATATGAATTAAAAATTTTAAAATTGTTTTTTTAAAAAAACTCAAAAATCACACAATTTTATCTAACCCAAACCCAATTGGGTTGGGTGGGGGAACCCGACCCGCGAAAGCTCCTAGCACTCGCGGGGCTAACGCAAAATCCAGAAATGCCACGTTGCGGTCTCCAAGGATAAAATCCACCACCACACTGCTCTGCTCAAAGAGCTGAGCCATTCATGACCTTTTCTTTAGCACACGAAACACACAGTGACATACTATACTATACTATACTATACCATACCATACATACACCAGTCTAACAACAGAGACAATATCAAACCCCAATTTGTTCCCAATGTTCTTTATTGTCTTCTTCATCTGATGAGTGTTTAACACTGATTTCTCACAAATGGACTGTCTCGCTCTTGCCACTGCTACCACCACCACCATCAACACCACAAACCCATTCCACATTCCGTTCTATACACCTTCTTATACACCCATATCAATAACAACTCCAAATGTATCTTTTCGTAGAAAGCCTCGTAAAAAATTCCTAGTTTTTGCATCTAAAGACGACCCTAAACTTGATCCCTCGGACCAGATGGAACTCAAGTTCGGCCGGTTAATTGGCGAAGACCCCAAACTCACTCTTGCCAAGGTTCCTCTCTCTCTCTCTCTCTCTCTCTCTCTCTATATATATATATGTATTTGTGTGTGTTTTTCATTTTTTTACCAAAAAAAAAACCCACTTTTGATTTACTTACTGTTTGAGAAGAGGAGAAGGTACAGTACTCTACCCAGCTCCCATCCCACCACCCATGAGCAAGAGGATCAACTCCTATCTTTGTGGTCCACAGGAGCCATCACGTTCGTACATTCTGAATCATCGACTAGTGTGATTCCAATGGCTTTCAGTTCCTCCAACAATGTATTGAATACTCTTGCCACCTTCAGGTTCTTCGTTACCCTTTGAAATCTCTGTTCCCTATCTCAACAAACAGAAAAGCATAAAATAAAGTGCCAATGTACATTCGTTTTTCTTTTCTAAAATGATTGATGGCCAACACAGGAAAAATTTAAATATTTTCACTGATAGTATGCCTGGAAAGGTTTTTGATTTTCAAGCCCATAGGTTTCTCTGGTAAAGTATCATAATTGAATGAAATACAAAGTCAAGTTGGCATACTAATTTTTTTTTTTTTGCCCATAAAGGCAAGGTTAGTGTTAGAGACTTGTCGCACATCTCTTCTTTAAGTCACCCATAAAGTTTATATAGTCTAGAGACTCCTCCACTATTGTCAATTGATTTTGGATTAGATGCCTCAATTTTTTTTTGAAAACGGTATCACATTTGGATCTTCGATAGCTGTTTGTTAATTCGATTCTGTATTATTTATTCGGACCCTCTGCGCGAGGGCACAACTGTAATAAGTGTGGGTGAGTGTGATGTATGTCTTCCAACCCCACGTCTTTCTCCCTTTTATTTATCCGTTTTTGATGGTTAGATTAGGGCATATTTCAATTAGCATACAGTATGATAGCATGTTTGCATTCATTCATCTGTATTGCATGTATCGGGCTCGGCGCATCATACTAACTACATTGTACTTTCAATTTCAAAATTGAATACATGTTAGTTGTCGCATTTCATATATCATCTTAGAATAGCCGAGCTTACTATAGTGCATTTTTTCATGTGTTGCATTAGGCATTTCAGCATATTTAGGATCATGCATGGATTTCTAATCGGTTTTTGTTTTGGCTTGGAGTACTCGGTGAGTTTTATGCTTTAGCATCCTTGCATGCGTGTGAGTGAATGCCATGATAGCATGCTTACCATGAGGCTATGTGCTTACATGATTTAACTGCCTGAATGCCTGTGGGTGAAGGTTGGGTTATCTGAATTGGAATAAATCATCAAATGTTTTAAGCCTACCTGCGGGTAGCAAACCATTTTCAAAAAAAGCGAACATGAAATGTTTTGTTCCAATCCGGACGACCTGGTCTATACTTGTATGCCGTACGCATCACATAATAACCTAGGCTAATAACCGGTATAAGAATTCACAATGTTTTCAAAAATTGATATCATGGTTAGTAGAGGCCGGTCTATGACCGGGCGAGCGGGGGTGCTCACGAAGTGACCTTCCCCAATCGTACCCAAGTTCCCGAGCCGAGGCAACTTTGGTGATGACGGACACGTGGCCTTTTTGGCACCGAGTCAGGGTTTCCTAAATTCCCCAAAACAAAATATTTAGGTGGCGACTCTGTATCTGGCAAAGCAGTCCATGTTTGGCACTTCTTTCAAAAATCAGTTTTCCTAAAACGATTTGCCGGATTTGGACTCTTTGGTTCAGATTAGGAACCGTGACATTTAAGAGTCCGAGCAGTAGCGAGGTCCCCCGCGGCCCTGTTACACTAGCAAGGGAAAACACGTGTGCTCATTTTTTGTCAAGTACTTCGAAGAAGGTAGTAAAACTAGAGGAGAAAAATATGTTAAGATCAAAGGAGCTGGACTTTGTTAAGATTAGATAAGGAAAACATGTTAAGATTGGGGGAGCTGGACTATGTTAAAACTAGAGGAGGAAAACATGTTAAGATCATTTTTATTTCAGGTATTGATACTAGCAACAGTTGATGGCTATTGGAGGACTTTAAAATCTTTTTAATTTGGCTATTTTTAAAGCAACAATTTCTATTCTAAAGTTGTCTATAGTTGATGTAATTGATGATTTTTATATTAATTTGACAAACTAGATGAGTTGCAATAATTATTTTTTGGGCAAATTACACTAACAGTTCCTATAGTTAGAAACTAATTTAATAAAAGTAAAAACAACCATTCGTTACATGATCATCATCCAACACATAATAAAAATTAATTTGATAAAAAAAATGTCTAAAAAATTTATCAATTTTACATAATTTATTTTTAGTGGGTAGAAATAATTTTTAAAAATTCAAAATATTTTTTTGACATTTATTTTTGACAAATTAATTTATATTTTATCAAATTGACGACTTTGTTCTTGATTTGAGCAATAGTATCTTCAATTGTCTTTATTTGAAACAAGATTCAAAATTTATGGTCAAATGTGTCACAATTGAAAAGTCAAGGACCGAAGTGACACAATGGCCAAACTATAGGGACAGCTAGTGTAATTCATCCTTATTTTTTTTAGAAAATTAAATTTCATCGTTTAAACGGTTTTTCATAAACGATTTTATGAAAAATGTATTACTACATTGTTGGGATACTATGGTACAGAGTTGATTTCTTCTTGTTGATATGATGCATTTAGTTTTTCAATTTACAGTTGATTGCAAAATTCATTATTTTAGGATGACGATTCGTGTGCTTTGTTATATAGATTGTCTATTTTTTGTTATAGAACATTCAATATTGGGGCTCCCCCCGTGATGTACAGAGGTGTCAATGCTTTCTTCAAATTGATTGAAAAATTATTCTTTGAGATTTGGTTTTTGTATCTTAGGCCTCGTTTGGGATGCGACCCGTTTAGCCAAAAAGTCAAAAAGTCACTAAAAAAATCAAAAAGCCAACAACTCATACAAAAAAGTCAAAGATTCTCTTTTTTCTCTACTTTTTGCACATCTTTTCGTAAAAAGTCAAAAAGTCATCCCAAACATACTAATTTTTTTTAGCTCATATTTTAGTCAAATAGCCAAAAAGTTACTAAATTAACCTGTTCCCAAACGATGCCTTAATATGTAAACTATTTCTAAAGACTACTATTTATTAGATTATACTTTGCATTTGGACTAATCCATGTTGTATGTATTATGTTATTTCAATAAGATATTTATGGTTCGGGGTACTATGACACTCACCAATGTATCAGATGTTAGTTACAAACTAATGGTAAAAGTGTTGACTTGATCTTTTGTCAAGTATTAGCAAAATCGTTGAAAGTTCTTTAAAAAGAATCAAAAAATGTTACAGACTTTACAAATTTTAACATGATACGTATAAATTATAATTACATTTTGATTCTAATATTATTTACACCATGTCTTTAGGTATGGGCATACAATAGTTTTTAATATTTGATGAATTTTTTCATAAATTTTAAACTTTTGTAACTGTTTTTAAATTAATTGAATTTAAAAAGTAAAAAAAATTTAAAAATTCATCAAAAAATATGAATTAAAAATTTTAAAATTGTTTTTTTAAAAAAAACTCAAAAATACACAATTTTGTCTAACCCAAACCCAATTGGGTTGGGTGGGGGAACCCGACCCGCGAAAGCTCCTAGCACTCGCGGGGCTAACGCAAAATCCAGAAATGCCACGTTGCGGTCTCCAAGGATAAAATCCACCACCACACTGCTCTGCTCAAAGAGCTGAGCCATTCATGACCTTTTCTTTAGCACACGAAACACACAGTGACATACTATACTATACTATACTATACCATACCATACATACACCAGTCTAACAACAGAGACAATATCAAACCCCAATTTGTTCCCAATGTTCTTTATTGTCTTCTTCATCTGATGAGTGTTTAACACTGATTTCTCACAAATGGACTGTCTCGCTCTTGCCACTGCTACCACCACCACCATCAACACCACAAACCCATTCCACATTCCGTTCTATACACCTTCTTATACACCCATATCAATAACAACTCCAAATGTATCTTTTCGTAGAAAGCCTCGTAAAAAATTCCTAGTTTTTGCATCTAAAGACGACCCTAAACTTGATCCCTCGGACCAGATGGAACTCAAGTTCGGCCGGTTAATTGGCGAAGACCCCAAACTCACTCTTGCCAAGGTTCCTCTCTCTCTCTCTCTCTCTCTCTCTCTATATATATATATATATATGTATTTGTGTGTGTTTTTCATTTTTTTACCAAAAAAAAAACCCACTTTTGATTTACTTACTGTTTGAGAAGAGGAGAAGGTACAGTACTCTACCCGAATGTAATTCAACTATGTCGTTGAGTAAAGCTTACAGTTTTTTGAATTGTCAAATTTTCAGCAAAATAGAAACCCGTAACTATTGTAATCTGAAAGAAAAGAAAAAAAATAAAAAGAAGGAGATGATTTGCAAAATTTGAGGTTGTTTTAAGTAATCAGAAGATGGGTTTTTGGTTTAGTGCCTTTTGGTTTTATATAATATAATTGCCATTCTTTGTTTGGTTTAGATAATGAGTAGAAAATCAAACCCTGATGTGTCTTATCTGGAAGTTGAGAAATCATTTTACAAGAAGAAGGGTAAATCAGTAACTGATGAGATAGTAGAGGTTCCATTTGATGGGTCTGAGAAAGGGCAATTGTCAGATTCATTGAATGGATTGAATTTGGTTCGCCCAGTGCCCAAGAAAGGAGTCAAGTTTGAAGTTGACAGTAAGCCTATTGAATCAGAGGTAAAGAAACCAAGCCAACCTGTAAGGAAGCCAGTAGATATTAATAGAGGTAGCCTTCCAAATGTTATTTTGCGGAAGCCAACGACATTCAATGAGGATGATATTGGACCTCAGAAACCGTCAAAGTTGAGAATTAAACCAAATTTGTCATTGAAAATGGGGAAAGAACAGACAAAGGAGACATTTAGTGATATTACATTGTTAAAGAAGCCTGAACCAGTGAGTAGGGACTTGAATCTTGACAAAAAACAAGAACCCTCTGGTGATGGCGATGCCATAGTCACTGATGGTATTGAAGATAATATCCTGAGAACAGCATCTGTATTCACTGAAGCAACTAATGACCTCACACTCTTAAACCCGCCTAAACAAATGGATTTTGGTTCGAATATCAATGAGAAACAAAAATCATCTGAAGATTATGAAGGGTCAAGCTCTGGTGATGATCTCAGAATAAATAGTTTGGAAAGTGTGAACTTATCTCCTGAAAAGGTTAATTCGGCAGAAAGCAAGTATGCTGAATTTACGGATACAGTAAATGCTTCACTCTCAACAGAATCTGGGCTCCAGGATTACTCTGCTACAGGTAATACACTAAATTTCAGGTAGATTTTCTTTGGTTGGAACTTTCGAATTTCATGTTGTGCTTGTTTTCTTCAAGAATTACAGCCACTTGAGCAAAGCAATATATGTTCTGCCGAGAATAGAAGTGCCACTGAAGCTCCTTTGGAGAAAAAATTGGTGGATTCTAATATCAAGTTCTCTATGGAAGCTGCTCTGCAAGGAAAACCAAGAAGGTTCGGGAAGTAACAATCACTGTATTTTGTACATTTTGTGATCTTCTGCTGCTGGTTTTAGTTGTTTAATAAATTGCTATGTTATAGATTAGACCAATCTGTAAAAGGAACAACAAATTTTAGTAGAGAGGAGATGGTTTTCGTGAACCCTGAAAGTTATGGCGATGCTGTTGAGCTTGAGAATTTTCTTGCAACATCACCTATAAAGGTCTAATTGTAATATAGTTCATTCCCATATTTGTTTTAGTTGAATAATATCATATGATGGATCCTGAGTTCCGTATTAAATGTAGCAACATGAAGATAATGACTGGAAAAGGGTTGAAGATCTGGTTAAGACAGGAGGAAGAGAAGAAGTGGAACTGATAAGTTCTAGCACCAGAGGCTTCGTTGTGAGTGCACTCAATGCTACAGTCCTCAAAATTTTGATATGTATCTGCTAAGAAGCATGGACACGGACACGTGACACGACACGGATACGACACGGACACGCCGACACGATAATTTTCAAAAAATGTTTAGTGTATCTGTTTTTTTTTTTTTGTCCTTATTGTTTGTTGCATTTTTAAGTGTAATAATTTTCTTTTCTGAATTTCATTCAATCATTTTACAGGTATCTTTTGGCTCTTTGATAGGAATTTTACCATACCGTAATCTTACTGCCAGGTGGAAGTTCTTAGCTTTTGAGTCATGGCTGAGGAGGAATGGCTTAGATCCATCTCAGTACAAGCACAATTTGGGCATTATAGGAAATTATGGGATTGCAAACAATACTTCTCTTGATTCAAGCCTAGACGCCGAAGTTGATCAAAATGTTGATGTTGACATTTCATCTGATATGCAACTGGAAGATCTTCTTAGAATTTATGACCAAGAGAAACTCAAATTCTTATCATCCTTTGTGGGCCAGGTTTGGATAACTTCATTTTATGTGAGAATCTTTCTTCTTTTATTTAATATTTATTGATACCACTTGTGTGTGCAGAAAATCAAAGTGAATGTGGTATTGACTGACAGAAAATCTAGAAAGTTAATATTTTCCGTGAAACCAAAAGAGAAGGAAGAAATGGTTGAGAAAAAGAGAAGCCTAATGGTAAGGAACTGTGCATGGTTTAAAACTTTTCTCTAGATGCTTTTTGGTTGTCCTTGTTTTGCTTTTAATGCTGTCATGGCAAGCTTTCTGCTTTATCAGAACTTCCTCTTCTTTTTTTTCTTTTTTTTTTTTTGTGGATAAGTAGCAGCAGCTCCCAGTTTTAGGACTTAAATTAAAGGCATTGTCACGTGGAGAAGTAATGTTTGTATATGAACGACGGAGGAAACTAGGAAGCACGGACACTTCTATGGGAGAGGCGTGTCATGTGGGGACACCCTCATCGGACATGACACTCTGTGGATACTTCTAAAAGCGAGTCCGACACTTTTTCAACATGTCTTAATTAAAATTTGAAATTCATAACATCACACTTCGATGACACTTCTTGAACCCTCCAAACGTGACCTATGTGATGAATCTCTTCAGAGTAACAATGTTTTAAATTCCTCGAAATGCAACTTGTGTACTCTAAATATGTTTTGAAGCATTTATAAGATGAATACAACATGTGTTTTTCAATGTTCTACAAGCATTCTTTAGAATGCAATCTTTACGTGAATGATCTACAATGTTCTGCAATTATTCGCCTCTCAGGTAGCATATTTCTTTTCCCCTTTTTGCTAATATGTTGTTTGGGTCTCTCTAGATCATCCATCTAGTCCCAGGTTACATGTGGCTCCCCTGTACCACATGCATCAGGTAGTTACCAAGATAAATCATGAGAATGAACCTAGGGACAAACTTAGAAAATATGAGGAAGAAGAACTCCGAAAATATGAGGAAGAAGGAATATATTTCTGTTATATTCAAAACTTCTTATTTTACAAGACCAAATGACACTCCTTATATAGGAGATATTACAAACATCATTATAACCCATTATATGCCACTTACATATTATATATTACCACTATCTACCACTATCATATTATATACATGCCACTATCTACCACCAACACCACTATCATATTATATACATGCCACTATCTACCACCAACACCACTATCATATTATATACATGCCACTATCTACCACCAACACCACTATCATATTATATACATGCCACTATCTACCACCAACACCACTATCATATTATATTAGTGTATCTGTTTTTTTTTTTTTGTCCTTATTGTTTGTTGCATTTTTAAGTGTAATAATTTTCTTTTCTGAATTTCATTCAATCATTTTACAGGTATCTTTTGGCTCTTTGATAGGAATTTTACCATACCGTAATCTTACTGCCAGGTGGAAGTTCTTAGCTTTTGAGTCATGGCTGAGGAGGAATGGCTTAGATCCATCTCAGTACAAGCACAATTTGGGCATTATAGGAAACTATGGGATTGCAAACAATACTTCTCTTGATTCAAGCCTAGACGCCGAAGTTGATCAAAAAGTTGATGTTGACATTTCATCTGATATGCAACTAGAAGATCTTCTTAGAATTTATGACCAAGAGAAACTCAAATTCTTATCATCCTTTGTGGGCCAGGTTTGGATAACTTCATTTTATGTCAGAATCTTTCTTCTTTTATTTAATATTTATTGATACCACTTGTGTGTGCAGAAAATCAAAGTGAATGTGGTATTGACTGACAGAAAATCTAGAAAGTTAATATTTTCCGTGAAACCAAAAGAGAAGGAAGAAATGGTTGAGAAAAAGAGAAGCCTAATGGTAAGGAACTGTGCATGGTTTAAAACTTTTCTCTAGATGCTTTTTGGTTGTTCTTGTTTTGCTTTTAATACTGTCATGGCAAGCTTTCTGCTTTATCAGAACTTCCTCTTCTTTTTTTTCTTTTTTTTTTTTGGATAAGTAGCAGCAGCTCCCAGTTTTAGGACTTAAATTAAAGGCATTGTCACGTGGAGAAGTAATGTTTGTATATGAACGACGGAGGACACTAGGAAGCACGGACACTTCTATGGAAGAGGCGTGTCATGTTGGGACACCCTCATCGGACATGACACTCTGCGGATACTTCTAAAAGCGAGTCTGACACTTTTTCAACATGTCTTCATTAAAATTTGAAATTCATAACATCACACTTCGATGACAGTTCTTGAACCCTCCAAACGTGACCTATGTGATGAATCTCTTCAGAGTAACAATGTTTTAATTCCTCGAAATGCAACTTGTGTACTCTAAATATGTTTTGAAGCATTTATAAGATGAATACAACATGTGTTTTTCAATGTTGTACAAGCATTCTTTAGAATGCTATTTAGAATGCAATCTTTACGTGAATGATCTACAATGTTCTGCAATTATTCGCCCCTCAGGTAGCATATTTCTTTTCCCCTTTTTGTTAATATGCTGTTTGGGTCTCTTTAGATCATCCATCTAGTCCCAGGTTACATGTGGCTCCCCTGTACCACATGCATCAGGTAGTTACCAAGATAAATCATGAGAATGAACCTATGCCACTATCTACCACCAACACCACTATCATATTCTATATATGCCACTATCTACCACCAACACCACTATCATATTATATGCATTAACACAAGCAGACAACTAGACAAACACTTTGTGTCCTTAACGTTAGTTGTGTATTATCATTTAATAGATTGATAATATGGAAAAAATCTTGCTCTTAAACAAAGCAGAGCCTTTTCTAGCATCAAGCGTGGTCTCTTGTATTTCTATTTTCTTTATTTATAATCTATGGGGAAGCTAGATGTCCATTTGAAATAAGTAATTTATAGGCTTGTATTTCATTGCAGGCTAAACTTAGCACTGGAGATGTAGTGAAATGTTGCATCAAAAAGATTACTTACTTTGGTATTTTCGTTGAGGTAAAGAGTTTACTACTCATGTCACTTCAATAACAGGCTTTTCAATGAAGTCCTGTGATCACATGGTCCCAGCTTCATGAAAATGAGCTGTGAACCCCATATATATTTTGAATTTGATTGGTTCTTGGATTGGTGTAGGGAACATTTGATTTTGAACATTTTCTGTTGTCTTTCTCGCTAAGGATTAGTAGCTCGTTGCCATGGGGTCAAGACCATGAGATTATCTCTGTCAAAACAATAATATTATTGCTTATCATCATTTGACCTAAATGTTGAAATGCAGGTGGAAGGAGTACCTGCACTAATTCACCAGTCGGAAGTGTCATGGGATGCCACTTTGGACCCTGCATCATATTTCAAAGTTGGTCAGGTATTTGAATTTACTCCCCAACTAAGAAGCATATACACGTGACACGATACTGACACACAAATTTTAAAAAAATGTAGGACACGACACATGAGGGACACATGCAAAATATTTACATTTATATATGTATTATGTCATATATAAACAGAAATAATTATTATATGTCATATGTATGAAATATTTAAATCAAAGATAATAATTTTTAAAGTCTGAAAGAGAAGAATAGGTATAAATTATATTGTTTTTTTGTTTCATCATTTAATCTTAAGTTATTTTATTCAAATTTGTAATGTGTTTCTCGTGTGTCTAAGTGTTAGGAAGTATTCGATAAATGTCATGTCGTGTCATGGTAGTGCCGGTGCCGGACACAGTGTCAGACACGACACGTTACCTTTTTAGAAGTGTCTGTGCTTCTTAACTCTCCTATTACAAATTTACAACATACCAAGTTAGCAATTATGTGCTCTATCCAACAACACTCGGTTGTTATATGCACTATACCACAACACTGACATTGTTCAGTAAGATGGCCAATTAATTTGATGAAGTTTCCCTGGTAAAATTTTTAGGCTGTACTATGCGCCTTATAGCCAGCTAGCATAGTAATTTGTTGGAAAATTGTGTATGAAACTCCAGTATGGATACTGATGCTGGTACCGTTATGCTAGGGTTACACCAATATTGAAAGCTTAAAATAAATAAATAAATGGATATTGGTATGACCAAGATACATCCATAAGAAAAAATATTTTTGTAATTTGTAGTAGTGTGCAGGATATATGACAATTAAGAAATCAAATGAAAAATGTAGACAAAGCAAGGTACAAACTAGAGTTAATGCCAAAATTAGTTGAGGATATAATATACAAGTCACAGTTCAATGCCAAGCCAAAAGGCATTGGTGTCTTATTTACTACTGCAATTCAATGACCTCTCATAGAATTTTTTGGTTCCCTCACCTATTTTGTCAGTCACTAAAGTAACAAATAAACATCACAAACAAAAGTAAAGGGAAACAACTAAAAGGCAGTACCAGCCCAATCTACAAACCATGAGAATTGCCAGCACGAATTTCACAGCAGGAGGCTGTGGGAGGAGAAGAGGCCAGGGGAGAGGAAACTTACTGAAAAAAAACGTGAGCAGTTGTTGCAGAGAAGAGAGAATCCTAATTGGTCGATCGTCGGTTATCATCACAGAGAGAATCAGAACCTCAAGCGGTGATTGTTGAACGTCAGCAATCTTTGTGTACATACATAGAGAGAGTGAGAGATAGAAGCCTAACTTTGATTGTCACATACGTAGAGAGAGTGAGAGACAGATGCCCTACGAGAAAGACAGAAATGTTCTATAATTGCAAAAAGAGAACCCTGAAGTGTTTCTCAAAGTTGTAATAATTGCAAATATACCCTTTATTCTAAACTATTTAAAATAGACAATATATTTATTCCAATACCCCTATATTTTTAGAAGTTACATTTATGCCTTAATGCACCCACAAAAGTATCTGATATGTACCTAAGCCATACCCAACATTCAAAAATTAAGAAAAAGTACCGGATATGTCTTTCACTTACCCTTGAAGCCGTACCAGTATGCATATCCGAACCAAATACCGGCTTGGTACTCATACAGCAATATTTTTGGAGTACCAATGCTTCATAGAAGATTTTTATCGTTGTCTAGATCCTAAAGCACTTTGCCTCTAATTCATGGTTGACATGTAATTACCTTCTGTAGATTTTTGTCCAAGTTATTGAGATGCTCCTTTTGTTTGCAGGTTGTGGAGGCAAAAGTACACCAGTTGGATTTTTCACTTGAACGCATTTTTCTATCGTTAAAGGAAATAACGGTAATCAGTGTTAAGTTTTATTTGTATTTAAATAGCTATTGTATATTAAGGAAGCCCTTGACTGAGCTTTTAAATGTTTTCATTTTCCATCCCTATTGCAGTCAGATCCATTAATTGGGGCCTTGGAGGCTGTAATTGGTGATAACAATTCCTTAGATGGGAGATTAGAAGCAGCCCAAGCAGATACCGAGGTCTTTACTTCTCACCATTTTCCTATCCTCTTGAGGATGTTTGAAATAGTTATTATTTAATAGTGTCAATAGTACCTCCATGTGGTTTGATCCAAGGCAACACCCCCATGACCTTTGGGTCACTTCTCCAAATAAAAGACAGGTTGTAGTCCTCTTAGTATGATCTTTTTAATAATTTCAATAACATTGGTTCAGTGTAGTTTAAACCAAGTAGGGACTACCTTTTAAGGAACTCAATTGGATTGCAAACATCTAAGCTAATAGATTTGGATAAGTCAGTTAATTTTCGTCATGGATTTCTATTTAATATGCCAAGATTTGTAATAATTAATCAAACCATTGTTCAGTTTATCTGATGCATATGTATATGGTGTTTCCATGCAATGCTTTTTGTTTATATGTTTGCTTATCAGAAAATAAAAATAAAAATAAGAGTCCTCTCACATTCTGATTATAAAATTGGACAGTGGGCTGATGTGGAATCACTTATCAACGAATTACAGCAGTTTGAAGGGATTGAATCTGTATCAAAAGGTCGTTTTTTCCTTAGCCCTGGACTGGCTCCTACCTTTCAGGTACCCTGATCCCTAGATTCAACTGAAGTGGAGGCCAGATGTAATGTTAATTAAATGATTTGCATGCATTTTTAGATATATATTCCTTGTTTTCCAAGCATTTTTTTCTAATGTATCATTTTCTCTTGGAGTTTGTACAAGGGGCAGAATAGGATAGGTGTACAATTTTAATAGACTAGAAACATATTACAAATATAAATGTTATACAGGGAGTTGTTTTGCAATTTGATAGGTTGCATGCAGTCGATAATTCATTGATTATATTAACCATCTATTTTCTAATATTAGCTTTTATGATTTGTGCCATGAGGGGTTTGTGTTTGATTCTTTGGATCAATCCTTGATGGTTTATCTTTGGATCTAATTAAAATGTCTTCTTCTCATACCTAGCCTTTAGGATAGAAATTTGAGTGAGTGCCAGTGTTGGACATAAAAGCTCTTGCATTAGTGTCTTGTCAATCGGTTGAGAACAATGTCTGTTGGAGAGCTTGATATGCATTGCTGGGCCCTTTCCTAATGGCTTAAGGTTTTGGTACTAGTGTTGATCTAACATAATATCAAAGCTCAAGTTAGGAGAGGCCTTGGGTTCAAGTCTCTCTGTTTGCATTTTGTTTCTTTATATGTTTGGATATTTACATCTCAACATGCAAAACAGGGTTGCATGCGAGGGAGTGTTGGAGAAATTGAGGCATTGTTGTGCTCTTTTCCTAATGGCTTAAACTTTACTAGTGGTAATCTAGCATGTCGAGAGAGCAGAGGACCATTGAACTATTCTGTGTTTTTAGCTTATGCTTAAGTTACATTCTTAGTGTTTCTTGTCCGACTCTAGTATAAGTGCGCTCCTAATCACTCTTTTGGCAGGTTTATATGGCATCCATGTTTGAGAATGAGTACAAGCTACTTGCTCGATCAGAAAACAAGGTGCAAGAGGTAAAATTTTGTGATCCTACCAAGCTTGGCTCAACTTCCCAGCATTAGTAGATAAAATAAACTTCAGTGTCTTTATTCTTGATCAAGATATACATTTTGTTCATATTACTCATCATTTAAAAAGTTTAAACGTGTTCTAGCACCTCATCGTTTTCTTCATATACTCATCATTTTATTGTCTTTATGGTTCTTCTGTATGCTTTACTCTGTAGCTTGTTATGGCCTTTACAGTTGGCCTTCAACTTTTACTTATTTGGAAATAGCATATTTGGATTAGTCGTGGTCTCATACAACACCATCTAGAAGCTATATTTCTGCCTACATGGAATGCTTGCTGTTTCGGTTTACAGTCAGGCTTACCATTTAGGAGAAAACTTCATTGTTTTGCACTCAATTCTTCAAAGGGTTGCTGCATCAATCATTTTGGGATGGCATGAGCTTGGGCATGCAGGAGCCCATCCACCAGGCTAGCTCATCAGCTCTTCTCTTATCCATGTATGTACTAGAGCTAGGTACCAGTGCATAGAGAGCTAGAGTGACCAAGTCCTAAAGATCATAATCCAGAGTGTCTGTCTCTGTATATATATATAATCGACAGTGGTGGTTATGATGGTTATAAATATTCATTGTACTCCAAATAAATTTTGATATGGCCAAAAATCAACCAAATGTAATCTGGCATGTTGGTTTCCAAGCTCCCATGCATGGGGTCATGTTGCCTCATGACAAAGATTGGAAGATGTTGATTTTTCCAGCATAGGTCTTTGTAGAGCTATTATAGACTGCTGCCTTAGAAAGTCCCATATTATGAAAATTGTTGCTGTTAACGTCAAAGCTGTGAGAAGAAATGTAAATCCATGAGTTGATTTGATCAAACGCATGAATTATGCAGATTCGTGAAGAACTACCAGAGGGATTGGATAGAGCCTAGTTCTATATTTATATCTTTAAATTTTATTTTTGCTCTTGCTGGTACAGTGGTATCATTATTTTCTTGGTTATATTTTCATCTTCCTTTTGTAAAAATTTATTTATTTTAAGTTATGGAAAACAATGTAGTGCTCACTGGCATATGCATGATTTTGGGCAGGTGATAGTTGAAACATCCTTGGGTAAAGAGGAAATGAAATCTGCAATTCTGACTTGCACCAGCCGAGTTGAATGACTCACTGTCTACTGCTTTTTGGCTTTTGTACGTCTTCGTTGCCCTCCCAATTGGCTGAGTTTGACGGTGATCCATGATGCGTTCTTCAAACTCAGACTCTTGATCCTTACTGATATATCTCATCAAACAAAAAGTAGTTCTTTGTAGAAATTCTTTTAATTTTTTTGCACCCAGAAACTTATACAACTTTGTTCGTATTGTGAAGGAAGCATCTAAAAGGTCTAATTGTAATTTTTTTAAATTAAGTTAAATTTCCATGGCATTGATATAATTGTATTAATGTCAATAAATGCCTTATCTTCTCCTCCATTTAAAACTAAAAAAAAATAAAAAAAAATCTCGAGCTTCTTGAATAACTTGATGGCTCGATGGATCGATAGGTTTAATTAGTTAGTTTGGTTTCAATTTGATCTCAGTTTTATTCCTACTTGGTACATCAAATTGTGAATTTATTGTGACTGGATGATTTAATTGGCATTACCTTTCATTGTGAGATGAGAATGATTTCTATGTCCTGATTTTTAGTTTATTTTTTTTGGTCCAATTGACAATTGATAATGCTTCATACCGTGGAGTTTTCCATCAAGACTCCCGACAGATCTTGTGAGGAAGCTAAGCTTTAAAATGTGGAAACTGTTTTTACAAAATAAAAATGATTGACGTTTTCGAATTTATCATTATTTATGTTTTAAAACATAAAGAACAATATATATACACATATATATGTTGAATTGATGGTTTTATAAATTATAATTTGTTACTCTAAAATTTGAAATTTTTACAAAATATTTTAAAATCCATCATTATAGTTAGTTTGTAGGGTAAAATTTTACTCTATATATATTAGAATTTTTGGGTAAATTACAAACACACTCTCTGAGATTTACTTAAATTACAAATTATCTCTTGTAGTTTTAGAAATTACATTATGCCCCCTAAGGTTTTTAGTTTCATAACAAATAGGTGCTTTTATTAATACATCATTAAGTTAATTAACAGTTTTTAATAATGTAAAATTTTATTTCAATTAATAATTCAAATAATTTTATTAATATATAGGTGAACAGTTAGAAATTTCACTTTTTTGAGTAATTTTGTTAAATAAAAAATTCTGATAGGTAGGTATTTATAATTTTTCAAATCACAAGGGACAATTTGTATTTTAGGCAAACTTTAAGGGATGTATTTATAATTTAACCTAGAATTTTATAATTAACATGGACTTTGATAGATTTCAACGAGATTTTACATTTAAAAAAAGAAAAGAAAATTATAAATTTAACCAATAAGCATAATACGTTTTACTCAATATTCATATATTAGCCTTCGTTTGGCAATGGATTTTTGGAAACTGTTTGGGTATGTAAGCTGTATATCATATGCACTTGTGTAAGTTTTCACAAATATATAAGTTACCTCACAAAATCGCATAAGTTCTCACAAATATACGTAAGTTATAATTTCTTAAATTTTATGAGTTAATTTATGTATGTTTGTGAAAACTTACGCATTTTTGTGAGATAATTTACGTATATTTGTCAGAACTTACACAAATACATATGGTATGCACTTGCATACTTAATCGGAGCTAAAATAGCTAAAAAAATAAAAAGCCAACTAAAAAAATCAATGCCAAACCACAACATTGTACAAACTTAGGAATGTAAAAATGGCCCGCGGCTCGGGGTGAGCCCGACCCAGTTAGGCCCAAGCTCTAGCCCAGCCCGAGACCCCAGGCCTGGGTCATCATTTTGAAGCCCGACCCATTGGTCCGCTCAAAGACCGGCCCGAGGCCCAGTGTCATTTTTAGTGGAAAATAATAAAATTTTAGTGGAAAAAATAAAAATTTGGTGAAAAAAATAAATAAAATAAATAAAAAAATGTTCAAGCCCTTCCAAGCTTGCCCTAAGCTTGAGTCTAAGCCCATCGGCCTGGTTTGCCCAAGGCCCGAATACCCCTTGGGCTTGGGCCTAATTTTTTGGCCCGTGACCTAACCCTTCCCGAATTTTGGCAGGAGGTTTTATTAATATATAAATATTGTATTTCTTCATCATCTTCACCATTAACATACATTCATGATATCATTCATTATCAATTAGCTCACTTCATTCTCTTCTCCATTAAACTTAATTTTCAAACTCAAAACATTATTGCATTTGAAGATTTGCACACCATAGATGACACTGAGATGGTTGGTTCCGATACAAACATTGAAAATGTTGATTTGAACATTGAAAAAGTTAGTTTATGACTTGATTTTTTGATTTTTTATTTATCCCGTTCATATGTTGGGAAGATGAGTTTGTTCGTCGTGTTCGGATAACCAGAGTTGAACTTTTACATAATGTTCAATTATTTATTTTTGAACAAAATAATTTTGTTCAAATTATTAGGATTGACTACATATTAAATGTTCATACATAAAAACTGAACATTTTAAGTTAGTTCGGTTAAAATAAATTAAACTTTTATTGGTTGTTTAGATATAAATTTTTAAATACATTAAGTTTATTCAATTTTGTATTCTTGAACATGACTAATTTGATAAATTTATTAAATGTTTTACAGAATTCTATACCTACCCAATGTAGCAATGTTAAGACTGATTGTATTATAGACTACAAAAGTGAATTTGTTACAAAAAGAGGTATGCTCATGTTTCATCATCTTTACCATCAACATACACTCATGAGTCAAGGGCGAGAATGGCAATTTGAAATGATGATTAGAGACGATAGTTCAATACCGACAATGAAGATCAACATCGGTAAAAGTGAAGGCCGAATGAAACACTTTGCCAGCAATTTGATGAGACAATGAGATGAGACACGATGATAGTTCAACAACAACAATAGAGATCAACACTGGTGAAAATAGAAGCCGAATGAAACCTCTGCCGACGATGGAGATTAAGACCGACGAAGATGGTCTCTATTTTAAGGATTGTGAGGGAGGGAGGGAGGTTTGTTGTGTGTAGTGGTGAAGATGAGAGTTTTTGGTGTATGTAATGGTGTGTATTCAAATAGTTAGATGTGTTTTAATATAGGGTTAGTAATGGAAAGTTAAGGTGTGAAATAACATATTTTTAAGAATATTGCTATTAGCACCCTATCAATTATTTTAAACCCCTCTATTTCTTTGGACCTCCACTTATAAATTTTAGAACTCTTAAAATTTCTTTTTTCTTCCCAAATAATACCAAAATTATCTTTGTGAAAATATTTCATAATTCAATTGAATGCACATTTCCACACCCCAAAAAGCATCTCTCCCAAAAACCTTAATAAAACTCATGAAGGTGATTAATACTTCATCATCACATACTTGTTCATGACTTAAGAAAATAAATGTTCGATTACCTGTTCCTGAACAAATAAATAATGTTCAGGCCTATATTCCCGAATTTCGGTCATATGTTCTATAGTTTAGTCTCAAAAAAATGACAAATAATTTTTTGTTAATATTATTTTTTGAAGAAACTTACACCTATTAAGCCAATTTCCTTTGAGTTAATAACACCATCAAAGCCATGAAACTCCGCTGAACTTTTATCATTGTACTCCTCTTGTCTCATGCAGTTCTGGTTGTCAAAAAAACTTTCACTCATTGTCATTACTAAAGAAGTGTAGGTAATCAAATGGTTGTCACCATTATTGCCGAAATATTGCTGTCAAAGGGTTTTTAAGGTTTCGATAGTGTGTAAGTTTTGAAGGTGAGATTTGGGGAAGATGGATGGATGATGACGGAGATAGGTGCTCTCATAAACCCTAAGTCATGATATAGTGAATGTGTGAGTTTAATTGTGAGATGGAGTATTCCAAAATTGTTGATATCTTTTTTATTAATTAGCTTCATTTGAGGTTATTATTGTAATAAAAAAAATTAAAAAAATAGGAGTTCAAAATAATTGATAGGGTGCTAATAGTAACCCTCTATTTCTAAACTCTAAAAATTATTGTGTGTGTACTAAATAATAGTGTATACTAAAAATATTAGTAGTGCATAAGTAGAATCACCAAAAAAAAATAAAATAAAATAAAAAATTGTGTCTTTTTATGTTGACGAAATTGCCCTTCATTCTGAATCGTTATCCCAAACGGTCCACTTCCTTTCTGCCTTTCTCGGTTCCCTTTTTGCTTCACTGTGCAAGTGCCACTTCATAGCTTCATCTCCCCACTTCCATGCTTTCCTACACCACCCACAGCTCTCTCGCTCTCTCTCTCTCAGGGTTTGTTTGTGTACAAGTCTTTGAGAGAGAAGGGGGAATAAAGGAAGTGGAAAGCAATAATGAGTACAGGAACAAGTACCTTGGTAATCAGATGGATCAACTTTCTGACAATGGTATATCTCCCATTTCAGTTTCTCTTCCTTAATTTCCATTTGATTCTCTACTATGTTGTTTAATGACCCTGATTTTTATTTTTCCTTATATGCGGACGCCTTTTTTCTTCAATCTCATCTTCCTTTTTCCCTATTCCACCCCTCCTCAGCACCCCCCCCTGTTGCACATTCCTTCTGGCTTGCAGTATTTGATCCTATTGTGCTTCATTTTGGTTGCAATCTTGGTCTTCACAGTTTTGGCGTAAGTATTTCTGGTTCAAAAGCTGGATTGATCTTCGCAATACCATTATATCCCAGAGAAATGAGCTTCCTATAATGATTTTTGTTTTTCCTAAACTGTTGTACCATTTCTTCATTAAAACTTCGTTGTCAATTTCACATACAATTTGAAGTAAACTTTTTTTGTTGTTATTTTCACAATACAACTGGCGTGCAAGTATAATTTTTCACATAAGTACCTTTTCTTTTACTCCTTATAGCCAATGCCATTCTTACTTTCTGTTCACATTGTAATTTTGATTTGCTCTTGCTGTACTTGTCTGTCAATTTATTAAGCAGGTTATTAGAATTATACCATATTGCACTTTATTTCAGTTATCACTCTTGATATTGTAGTATATCACTTAATGCAATTACCTTGTTTGTAGAGAATGTTCTACCATTTTCTTCTTTCTTTCCTTTCTTTGTTGGCAATTTCATATCTTCTGTTCCCTTGATAAGGGGCCTCTATTATGCCTGTGGAGAACAGTGGTCCTTTTAGCAAATAGTGCAGTAGATTTGTCCAAAGACATAATCTTTAACTCCTCTACCTTGATTCAATTTTCTAATGTATCTAAAATTTGGTAGCATCACGTAATTGCAGATTACAAATTACCATAGCAATTGTAATGATCAACTTTGTGGAACTCCCTCACTTGGTTAGATAAAGATAATTCCACCCTAGAACTAAGACAACTATATAAGGCTATGGAAGCATACCCTTCTTCTCAAAGCAAGCTTTTCAGGTCCTGGCTTGCTGGTCCAGTTCTCCAGTCAAATTATTAATGATATTACCGATCAGTGAACTGCTAATTGGTGAGGGAGGTCGATTACTTTTGGTGTGAAATTTTAAGTGATCTATAGATATGATTTGTTATTTAAAGAGAAAATGCTCTTGATCTTGAACAAGGGTGAAACTACAGGTCTGCTTGCTTTTCAAATATTGAATGCTATTAGAATTAGGAGGCTTTCAATCATCCTGAAATGGAAATGGACATAGGGATTAAAGGATGTGGTATCAGTTTTGTGGCAAACTGTGGTTTCATTGAAAACTGACACTGCAGATGTTGTCCATGTATAAAGTTATCTTGCCCATCTACCTTTCTATTTGTTAGTGTTGTCAACAACATTTCCTGTTTCTGTTTATTATTCTAATTAAACAGCATCCTAAAATATCATTCTGTGATTTTAAATGGCTTCAGATCGAACTGCTACATTCAACTGGTTTTATTGACTCCTTTGATATTTGCTCTAAGTTCTTCTTGGCCAATTTGTATTGCCTCCTCACTGTTGGATTAAGCCAGAGAATTTTGTGAAGGGTTTACTCAATGAATAATGAATAGCAAAACATAAACAAAAGTAAAAAGAGGGGAAAAACAAGAAGGAAAAAAAAAAAAAAATCAAAGATAATCAATGGGCTATCTTTTGACATTATTTATGGATTAGAGTGACATCCTTTTCTTTTTTGCTTTTTATTTTTTCTCGTTTCATTCTTTATTTCCCGATAAATTAAGGAATATGCCTCTATTATCAACTGAAATCTTAAAGAGTAAGTGTTGGTGGTCCACTTCTCTACAAATGCTCATTGTCCATACCATTTACATCATGGGATTATATGCTATGATCAATTGGGATCACCCGTTGCATTACAGTTTCCTGTGCTGTTGATCAGTCTTTTCTTCCTCATTGTCAACTTGTCTTTGTTATTCAACTCTCTTTGCTCCTATTGGAGATGAACGGAAGCAAGTTCTCTGCAGCATTCATTACACCTGTGGACATATCCAATTTGTGTTTTTGTTTGAATTGTACACTAGTTATAATTTTCTGACATGATTCTTTTTTTGGCGCCTTGCTTTTATAGTTTTATCATAACTAATGATGGATCTGGTCACAGTGTAGCTGGTTTGAGGTAAAATCCCCCATGATTTTTATGATAGAATCTCTGTTGATGTCTCTCATTTTCTTAGGTGTGAAAGCACTCATCATGTTGTGCATAACTCCTTACAAACAAGCTTCAGCCCTACAACAAAAGAAATATAAAAAGAAAGTGAAGAAGTAAACACTAAATCGTCAAACTTAAAAAATGTTTAATCAAACAAACAAAAAAATAAAATAAAATAAAATAAAATAAGGAGGATGAGTTCTGCACTCTTTATGATTTTTTTTTTTTTGAAAAAAATTCCTTTCTTTAGAATATTTTCTTCTTTTGTAGGTGAACAACAGTGGCCATTAATACAAACACGCTTCAGGCCTACAACAAAAGAAATATAAAAAGAAAGTGAAGAAGTAAACACTAAATCGTCAAACTTAAAAAATGTTTAATCAAACAAACAAAAAAATAAAAAAAAAAAAAATAAAATAAGGAGGATGCGTTCTGCACTCTTTATGATTTTTTTTTTTGAAAAAAATTCCTTTCTTTAGAATATTTTCTTCTTTTGTGGGTGAACAACAGTGGCCATTAATATCTTTCTGCTTAGGTAAATGGAGTATCATCTTCAAGGTTACAGCTCATGTTTTCTAAAACAGGAACACTTTGATCATTATACATGTTTAGCAGTTTAGAGTATCAACATGAGAATACTTTTTTTTTTTCTTTTTTTCTTTTTTTAAATCTGGCTTTTTCTTCCAGCTAAACAACACCCATTACTGGGAGCATTTAAGGAGTTGTCTTGTGAAATCTGATGACTGTAATAACCTGTCCAAAAAATATAAGGTCCACTTTGCTACTTTAAATTCTCATTTCTCGTCTGTTCCTAATGAATTAATGGTGAAGTTTTTACCTCTCATTGCAGACTCTTAAACAATACAAACTGGCAAAACTAACCCCCATTGAGGCTGGTTGTTGTCGACGGCCATCTGAGTACGTCCCTTATTCTTTCTCTTCTAAATAATTACATTTTGGTCTCTTTCTCTCTCTCACACACACACACACACACGCACGCACATTATTTTCTTTTCCTTTTCTTCTGGGGTTTCAATTGCTTAGGTGTGGTTATCCTGCTGTTAATGCTTCATACTACGACTTGAGCTTTCACCCAATCAGTTCCGACAAGGATTGCAAAATTTACAAAAATTCCAAGGAAATCAAGTGCTACAATTGTGATTCCTGCAAGTAAACATTACTACATTCCCATCTTCTCCCTCTATTACCTCTGTCATACAAAATTCTCTTTGCCCTTTGCTTTTCCTGTATATCATGCTTCCAGGGCAGGAGTTGCACAATACATGAAGACTGAATGGAGGGTGGTTGCAATCTTTAATGTGGTTCTGTTTGTTGTTTTGGTAAGAAACTCCTCTCCATCCAGTTTGGAACAAATCAAATTATCTTTTTCTCATTAGCGAATGAGGAACAACAGATAATATCGAATATGAATTGCATTTTATATCTTCTACTGTTGAAATTGACAAAGTGTAATATGAAATTAGCATAATATTTGTAGATAATCATTTAATTGATAGTGTTTATATGATCAGGACCTTCTAATCGAGTTCATTTATTTTTCTTATAATTATCTGTTGTGAAATCAGTCAATAATCTACTTTGTGGGATGCTGTGTGAAACAAAATGCTGCAAGGAGCCACTCTAAAGTTTGAAACGGACTTATGTATCTCAAGAAATCTTCACTTGGTGGTAAATTTGTTCACATTCCTTAAAAATCACACTTTCTATTTGTAAGTTGTTTATTGTTGAAAATTTTAGACAAATAGATACACATACACCATTGTTTCTCAAGCACTGACTGGGAAAATTTAAGCTGGAGCATCTCTTTTCTGTAGTATTACAATTCTGTAAAGGTTTTATCATTCATGTGATTATGTGTTAGAGAATGCAAGAAAGAATGTTATATCCATCACATGCTTCAAAGGGAGTTAATATTATTTCAGTACCTCAAAATGGTGCTCTTTTTTTTCTCTTCTCTCTCTCTCTCTTCAAAATACAACACATGCTTGTAATTTGAGTTCGTTACAAAAATCAGAAATTTGGGAACTGTTTATTCTTGGAAGGTTGATGGTACATGCATCTCATCAAAGTAGAGCTAATCCAAGTTGGGTTCCTAGGAAATTTCAACACTTAGCGGATACTAGAAGGTTGTTTCTTCCGTCTGAAAGAAGAACAGGCCAGAAGGCCCATCACCAACTGTCAAAGCCAGCTTTACAGGACCTTTTGCACCTTCTTCAGCCGTGTATTGTCCATTATTAAAGCTCAAATCTGTTTTACAAAAGCCAGGAGTAACTGAATTTATGCCAAAATTCGCGAATTTTTTAGCCAAAACCCTCGTGTAGGCATTAAGAGCTGCTTTGGAGACGACATAAGCAGAGAGAGCAGACCAGCCTTTGGACTCCAACAAATCCTCTTTAGCATCCTGTAAATACTGACTCACTACCTCATCTACTTTCTCTTCTGTGAGTCCGTCAACATCACTTAGTACCTCTCTTGCCCATTCATTTGTAACATTCTGCAAAAAAACATTTAGTTATATGTCACGGGTTAAATTTATAGCACAGTTTAACCAGCCTTTGAGGGAAAGTTTTTTTACCTTTAGCTGCCCCAAACCGGATGAGACATTAACAATTCTTGCAGAACCAGAGAGCTGAAGAAGCGGAATGAGAGCTTGAGATAGCTGTTTAGGTCCGTAGTAATTTGTTCGTAGACACCCTTCTGCTGTTTCATAGGTCTGTTTTATAACCTTTTTCGCCATTTCAGCCTTCTCACCTACAATCTATATCATTTTTAGAAGATTAAAATCCTTGATGTATACAATAAGGAAGCATATATTTTTTGCTGAAACCCAGAATCTGGTAAAAGACTTACCTGTCCAGACTTCAGCTTTAAACTAGTAAAAGACTCCGCATCCATTATGACTCCGCTGACCCCTGCATTGTTCACCTGCCAAGAATTTATGTACATACATATTAGTGAACAATTACCCACTAGATAGCTATAGATAAAATTAGTTTCAATCAATTTAGTTTGCTTCCAATCTCACCATTATGTCGAGCTTTCCGAATTTATTTTTGATGTAATCTGCTAAAGAAGCAATACTAGCAGAGTCTGTAACATCAAGTTGATGAAAAAAAATATCCGATAGCCCACAAGCTTTGAGATTTTCAACAGCTTCAGTACCCCTCTTCTCATCTCTAGCTGTTAAGATCACCATGACTTCATTGGAAGCCAACTGTCTGCATATCTCTAATCCAATTCCTTTGTTGCCCCCTGTTACTACTGCAATCCTGAAAATCAATTAACAAACACACAACAAAACTAAGGTGTTAGCTTAGAGGTTGGTTCATGCAAACTTCAAAATTTTCAACATATACAATAAAATAGAGAGAGAGAGAGAGAGAGAGAGAGAGATGTGCCTTTTTGGTGATGCAGTGGTGACTGTTCCCTCCATTTCTGAATGTAGGAGATGGTAGTGGTAATGAGGATGAGGTGTGTGTATAATTTTGAAGTTGGAGATATCTATTTATATAAACAAAATCCTCTTTTTGTACGTAATCTGTGACGCCATTGACATATGCACTTTCAACTGGCTGCTCGTAAATTATAGAAATAGGATTCTGAGTTCAGTTGAGCAGTGGATTGATTCAATTTAATTTAAAATTTTAGTGAGTTCAAAATGTGTTTAAATTTGATTTGCTTATTTTTTGAGGCGATTTCGAACAAGTTTTAATTAAGTTTACATAGTTTTGTAGTGTGTACGAGTTTTTTGAACCAATATTAAAAAATCAATAATGAGTTCAAAATTTGTTTGTATTTTATTTATTTATATAAAACTTTTAATGGGCCATGTAAGTTTAAGTAAATTAGTTCATTTTACTATGCTATATGGAAGATTCACATACTAACAATGGAATTGATTGATAGAATTTCATAGAAAAAAGGTAAAAAATTGCATTGACTTGCCAAAAAATGTGATAAGATTATAATAATTTTTATTTTAAAATTCACAAAACTAATCTTTTTGTTGCATTATAATTTTTTCAAATAAAAAATCAATCACAGAAATCTACAATGGCTATTACACAATAGAAATAATAAATAGTTCAAATTTAACAATTTTTATACTACAAATCTCTTTTAAGCACCACTTCCTTATTTTTGTTCTATACCTTGGCGTTCTTTTCTTACATAAATTGATCTTGCACCATGAAAGGAGGAATGGCTGTTCCACAGCCGCTGCTCCTCTACAACTACTTTTCGCCCAACATGATCATGAACGAAGACAGAGAATTGCGTAGATAGAAGGAAATAAACCAACCCATTTCTCCTGATCGGAACGATTGAAGAAAAAATGAGATTGGTGACCCCTTTTGCCCAGGTGACATCGTTGGAGAACATTGTCGTGAGGGAAGTTCACTGTGGTTCATTCCAAATAAGCAGTTTTGGGTGAAGTTATTCTTCGGAGAGAAAGTTTGTATTGTTCACATGTGTGTAAACAAACCCTTGCTTGCTTGAGAGAATGGGACTGTTTAGTATAACTTATCTAAATTGTTTATAATTTTTTTTGGGAGTCTTTATCATACTATTTGATGCAGTTTTAACTTACAATTTATTAGACAAAAATAATTTAAATATGTTGAAAAAAACTCATTGTCTAAAAGCTAAGGGAAAAATATTTTTGACTTTACTTTTTAATAATTAACTTTTAACTTTAATAAATTGTACCAAATAGGTCCAATAATTTGATAACTTCTCAATACCCCACTTTTGAACCTTGACATGTCTTCGAGGGAGGTTATTAGACCTATTTCATTATAGGAAAATGATTTATTTCCAGAAAAGTCTCTTACAAAAGTAATTATTTCATAGATTCTGACTAGTAAGAGTGTAGCGTTACAAAGTAAGTGAATACTCTTACGGTCAAAGTTTATGAAATGGTGCTTTTGTACGAAATTTTTGTGGGAATGTATTATATTTAATTTCTAATTACACCACACAAAAATTAAAAAATTTAATTTGTCTCTCACACCTACTATAATACCAAACATCTCGTCACATTTACACCTTTTACCTCTGAAATTAGAACTCTACAGTAGGGGTGTAAATTGGGCAAGGACCATGTCGGCCCGCTCGGGCTCTCACCAAAATTTGGGCTAGGTTGGCACACAAGCCAGAAAATTAGGCCCAAGCCCAGGCCTAGGCCTAGGGGGTATTCGGGCATTGGGCTGGATCGACGGGCTTGAGCATTTTTTAAAAATTTTTTTTTTCAATTTTTCTACTAAAATTTTATTTTTTTCTACTAAAAATGACATTGGGCCATGGACAGGCTGGGCTGGCCGGGCTTTGAGTGGGCCTTGAGCAGGATGATGGGCCGAGCTAGGTGGGTCGGGCTTCAAAATGACTACCTAAGCCCAAACCTAGGGTCTCAGGCTAGGCTAGGCTCGGGCCCGGGCCTGGGCCTAACCGGGAGGCGGGTTTCGGGTTGCCCACGGGCTACAGGCCATTTTTACACTCCTACTCTACACCATTTCCAACTACCACCTCCGGCCACTATAGTTGGCATCTCTTCCACTCCAACCATTAATCCCAACCCTCTTCCATTGTGACCCAACCCCTTTCCTAACTTCCCAACCCTCTTCCATTGTGACCCAAACCCTTTCCTAACTTCCTTACTACCTTACCCAACTTCCTTGCCTACCGTGACCGTTATCTCCACTGCAATCTTATCCCCTCACCATGACTTCCTACCTAGCCCCTTTCACCCATTGTGTCCCCCTTTCAAATCTAGGGTTTATGGAAGAAGAAGAAGAACGGATGGAAGTAGAAGGGAGAGGTTAGGGGTGTCGACGACTGTCACGGGGTGGAAAGGGACAACTGTGAGTGGCGATAGTGGTGGTAGACTAGTAGAGATAAAGTGGTGAGTGGAATGAGAAATTAGGATTTAAAATTTTCTAGTTCGAGTACTTTTTGGTAATTTTATTAAAAAAAATTGGGATGTAAGGAGATTTTGTGGTGTAAATAGAATCACCAAAATTGACTTTAAAAGTGAGTTTTATACCCCTAAAAAGGTTCAATTCTTCATGTAATAATTTAAGCAAAAAAGTCATTGGTTTTTAAGATTGGACAAGAACAATCATTTGTATTTTGAAAATGCTTTCCAATTTCGTTAAGTTTCATTAAAATCCTATTGAAAATGAAGAACTAGTAAGCATTTTGTGATTTTAGAGAAAATTTCAAAACATAAGAAAAACAAAATGATCTTCCTGGGCAAAGATAGGTCCATAACAAGCAAGATTGTAAGGTTGTAGAGAAGTAACTATTGTTAGTTCTATCGATCTGAAAGTGCAAAAACAAAGCTCTACTGCTAAAACTCAACAAATCTTTACTGTAAATTAAAAATGGTTGATGGAGATTTTTAAAATTCACAATATAGAGCTCTCTGTCTCTCCATAAGAAAACAAGGACACTCTTGGATGTTTTCTGCGGTCTATGTATGGGCTCAAGCATGCCATTGGTATGAGACGTGACAGGAAGTCACTGAGATAGCGAATTCTATCTCTCTCCCATGGTTGTTATTCAATATACAAGGCATATATCAAAAGCTTGATATTTCCATCCGATCAAAGAACAATCTAGAAGGGCCACCGGCAGGTGTCAAAGCTAGGGCTACAAGGCCTTTCGCGCCTTCTTCAACATCAAACTCTCCATTATTACAGTTCATGTCGGTTTTAACAAAACCAAGACTAACACAATTTACTTGGAAATTGGGGAATTTTGTTGCCAAATCCTTGAGTAGTCGAGGTAGAGGGAGATTGGGTGGATGAGCCGTTGTTCTGGTTCCTGTTATCAGAGGAGAGAAGAATTCTTCGTCAGTATATAAATTGTTGATATTATTTTTGTGTATTTCTAATCTAATCCAGTCGTCTTCCCTCCAAACGGAGAGACAGCAATATCGACATAACTCATAT